CATGAGTGCATGAGTGAAGAGTGCGTGGTTGTGGGTGTGGGTGTGTGGGTGTGTGGGCGCGCACACACGCCCTGTGTGCATGTGTGTGTGTTTTGCCAGCACTGCAGACTTCATATATGTTGATACCACTTTCACTTTGCTTCTTTTAGAATTATATATCTTTTCAAGTCTTGCTTAACTTTTCTCAATGAAGAGACCAAATTTACAAAAACCTTGAAACTAGAGCAAAGGACACTTCTGAAAATCTTAAAAACCCGCTACCTCAAAAAATCATTACCAAGAGGCACCAGAAACACATGTCAAGTTTTGTGACAAAATATGTAAAAAAAATGTATAATCTGAAAGACACAGTATTGCATGCAACAAAACCTAACAATAGTAGATAAATCCGTGACTAGTCAATGACTAAAAACAAGAGTTGTTTTAGTTTACTTTACCTTTGCTCCATCACTATTTTCTGCACTCTTTTTGTGTCCTGATAGAGATTTACTATGGTCTGTTCCACAAAGTCTAGTGCAAAATAGAATTAGTTTGAGGCAATAACTTTTGAAAAGATTGCAATTTTACACACAACATACCACTTTCTGGATGAGTTGTGGCCTCCTTTCAACTTCCAATTTTGTCCCAGAGATAATGGAACAGATTATAGTTATTGAAACATACCTTCTGAGACATGTTGCAAAATCTGTTGTTTAAAAGATAATGTGTGCAACAGAAACTCAGTGAACAAGGAAAGGGCAAAGGATGAAGTTGTATTATGCATTAAACGTGTTTGCACATCAAGACTTAGTGTGCAACTACATGAGCAATCATGCACATATTCTTTACCCCTTTGTGATACATACACTTTGGAAATAAAACAAAGATACATAAAGTCCATAAATCATAAATATACAGTAATTCATGCAAGAATTGTAAAAAAAAAAAAAAAAAAAAAAAAAAAAAAAAAAAAAAAAAAATCACAGCATCAAAGGCAAATGCAGGTGCTCTGATAAAGAGGTGTGGAGCTACAGCTACTCAGTAGGTCTAGTAAGAAGACTTTTGGTTGCATCATCAACTACATCCATAAAGGAGGTGGTGGCTACTTTTGGCTTAGGGAAACCATGAGCAGCAGTCCTTCTCTTCCAGCGCTCAACAAAGGCTCTATACTCTTCACATTGCCTGAAGACAGAAGATGGCAAATAACAACAAGAATGATATGATCAAAATGTAATAATTGCAAAAACAATTGAATGAAATACAAGAAAGCCATGCACTATGAAAATTATTAACCCTTGATCAGTCAGGTCCATGCAAGAGGGTTACATGCTTCCTTATTTGTTTCCTACCGTTACAAAAAAAATGTAAGCAAATATAAAGCAAGTATACAAATTGAATAATGAATTCCAGTAGGTTTCCCTTTCCCTATCACTCAAAGGGATGCCTCTACTGAACATAAATTAGTGACATTTTCAAATTTTCTCATCAGCAGCAAACTGTTAGCTCTCTGTATTATGAACATGAATCTATAATCCCGCCAATACAGCTACAGGTGCAATGTCCCTGTGAGTCACATAAAGCAAATGTTAACTTGGTGAAAGTTTGAATCAGCTTACTTAATCCTTTGGCTGTTTATGTCCAAACAAGTAGCATCATAACATACCAAAAATGTCTGCAGAATTAAAAAAGAGGATATCTCTAGTACAAAATAACCAATCAAAGTGACTTTAAATATAAAAATTGATATAAAAAATATAGAAAAGTCAGATAAGACATGCTTTCACTCTTCAGGTACTTCATATCACAAGCATCATGACTAGCCCATGGCTAAAGTAAAATGGGTTATCATAGCATCCTTACATATCAAATAGTAAAAAACAAAAAGTTCACTATTCAACATTTCATTTAATATGCTTCATTGTAGATAAAAGAATCTTTTCATGTCAAATGTCAAGCAACTGGATTTCTAATAAGCAATATATGGACCTGACTCTCATGGGGATAAGAACATACAGAAATATACAAATCTACTGAACCAAGAGAAAAAAATTGGTGAAAAAGCATAAAAAGGTGATTCCTTCATCAAATAAATAAATAATGAGGTAGTAGAAAAAAGCAAGAGAAAGAATTCTGAAATAATGCGAAATTAAATCTGAAAGTAAGAAGCTCAAAACTAATTGTTAAAGCAAATGATTACTCACAACTAAAAGGACTTGAGAAAAGGTACAAGAATTTATAAGGCAAGACCTCCCTCTTAGTGCCACCTTCCATTAATAAGCATTTATTGGATAAAAAGCTGAACCCCAAGGCAGAAACTACCAGCATTCTTTTCCGAATATCATATACAGAGCATCTTCTGGTCTTTAGCTAAATTCATAAAAATAAAAGAAATTTAGAAGGTTGATTGTTTCATACTATTACTGTATCAAGCAAAGAACACCACCTATTATTTTGATCTTTTTAAAACACAGAAAAAATATTCCAACAAGCAAGAAACATTGAATGCAATCTTAAAATTATACCACTTTTTCATAAAACTTAAACCCTATAAATTACATAACTACCACTTAGCTAAATATATTTCTACATGGTTTCTTAATAACAGATGGAAGCTTACCTTACCATCTCTGAGTGCTATAGAAAATAGGTTAAGCTCTTCACAAGACAATAAATAAAAAAGTAACAAAACTGGACACAAAAATTAAGTACGTTTTAGTTCCACACCTTATAACTTACATTCAGTGATGTTGAAGTTAAGGATCAATAATCAAAATAATAAAAATATATATAATTCACAACCACATAGCTCACAGACATATTGTCCACAGTAATTAAGTACTTGGGGAAAGGGAATGTAATTATTGTAAAGTTATATTTTAATGGAATGTCTTTGATGTATGCTACTATTTATATTTAAACCATATATTGGTTAAAATGAAGCAGAGACAAGATCATTCTTCTATTTAAAGTAATAGTAGAATATATCTTCTGTCTTTTAGTTCCTAATATGTTTGTACATAAATATGTTTGCAACTGTTGCATGAAGCTGCCAATTTCTAATATACTTTTTCTTTGGTAAGTACTGTGAGATCAATGATTTGTAGGAAGCCTTTAATTTTCTTTGGTGTCTGGGATCACTACAAGTAAAAAAAATAATAAAAAACTACAGGCCTTGACAAACATTTCCACAGTGGCATGATTCACTACACTCCTCAATCCAAGGTCATTATGAAATTCATGAGTGACTTTAAACTAATCACCTACACAACCATCAACTACTCTAACACCAATGGTGATAATGACCTTTTCACAGATATGCCTGTGCCTTTGTAGGTGAATGCTTTATCATTAATGCATTAAGTCTTAAACATCTGGATTCTGAATGTCATTTATATGAATAAGCTTTGGTTAGATGTTTGTCAATATTCCTAAAAGAACTGAGTGACAGATTGCTCCAGAAACTGTTGAAGGTGTAAGTTGGTAGACACAAGAAATAGTCCTCATTCCTTCCCAAAGCATTCTCTTTACTTAGAAAATAATATCACCACTTCTCTGAACGAAACCTGCAGTCACACAACTACATGGCACTTGTGTAGTGCTGTGACACTGGGGGGCACTGAGGGGTATTAAGAGTCTGGCGGCTTTCTGCACCTTCGGGAGGATCTCGTGTGTCGTGTGCTCGAGTCCCCGGGTCATGCGGACGCCCACCAGACTCCAGCAATCGGTTAGTAGCTTCCTGGACACGGCCAGGTTCATGTATTCGCGTGCGTTTGCTGTCAATAATGCGAACACTGTCAGTTGGGTGAATAAGCTCATTGCTGTAATACCAACGAACATACTTGCGGTAATCCTCTTGTCGCCGGCGGTCAACGTAACTGAAAATGCACGACGCTGGGACCCAGATGATGACAGAGATGATGATCACTGTCCCTACAATGTTGTCACGCAAGAACATCAGTACAGTGTTAATGTTAATGTCCTCTATGATGTCCCAGAAACGTTCTACAACATCTTGCACTGTCTTCTCACATTTTCCCTGTGGATAGGAAGTGGTATTAACAAAATACAATATTTTTCTTTATGATGCCTAAATAACCACAGGTCAAAGTTTCTCTAATTTTCCTTTTCACAATCTTTTTAGAATAAATCTGTGGAAAGTACTGTATATCCTTCTAGAATGCAACATGCTAAAAGAAAACACAAAATGAAGTTGTAAAATTATAAGTTTCCTCTGTATAAAGAAATGAAATATATACTATATATATATAAAAAAAAAAGTATGACAAATATTGCATTTTACCTTATTGCAGAATCCATGAATACAGGGAGTGCCATCAGGAAGGATGTCTAAGGGTGTGACCGGGAAGCAGGTGTCGTTCAGCGTCTTGCGACAACACCTTTTACAAGCGTCATCAACTAAGGAGAGTCAATGAATTTGGTGTATTATCATCAATTTTTTCTCTTCTATCCTAAAGATAGATGTTTGTCTCATAATACTAATTTCACTATTTTCTAAATGGTCTTACTGGCATGATTTACTTTAACAACAGATTTTCAATCATATTGAACTGTTTCAAGGACCTGGGTTGTTTATTGATCAGTCACTAAAGACAACAGAGTCTAACTCTTTAATATTATCTCACACTTTTAAATCACCTGACTCAAAATTTGATTTCTATTCATATTTCTAACTAATTACTGAAGGTGAATATTTGATGAATGGTCAACCCAAATATTTGCAGTGCAGCCTAAAATCAATCAATGCCAACAATATGAACTTACTGGTATCACACATGCAGCTCTGCATTTCCTGAGTCTCACAGTAGGGAAGACAGGATCCCTGGTGGCACTGGCCCTTCTCAATGCAGGGAGTGCCGTCTTCCATAGGTTTGGCCTTGGGACAAACTGCCGTTGTGCCTAGACACCTAGACTCATTCTCGCATGTGGCTGGCTGTTGCTCCCTGCACTTGACACCCTGGTTCATGTACTGGCAGCCCTGGCAGCAGGGAGAGTTCCTGTCA